TGTCTGTGAGGTTAAAAGTCTAATTTATGGAAAAGATAGTGATCTCAACAATTGTCAATAAAGGGGCAATGAAAAGGGTTGCTGTTGAATTAGAGCCATATTATAGCCGTAGGGAGAGCTGTTAGTGATCCTTATGTTAAGAAAACTTAACATTTTCCATTCTTGGGACTTTTTCTTTGAAGAATGTGTATACCTTATTGTTTGTCAAAAAGCCATTGATATTTGACAGAGAGAACACCTTTAGGTTACCCATTTACTTTTTCTTTGTCCCATAAAAATGCAGTTCAGCTTTTGGCAAGATATGAACTATTAAGAATTGACATATCCTTTTTCTCACTTGAATGCCTCAGCAAATACATTGGCAGTGTGCCAAAATAACTGAAGACCTACATTTTAACACCAGGATTTTGCCAAAGGAGCAAATCAGAACCACACGGTTACAACACTGTAAAATTTCAGGTTTAAACATCTGAAAAGATTAAATTTATCCATTTTTAAATCCTATGGCTGTGAACTTGGCCATAATGGACTACGAATTTCTCTCACTTGAATGCCTCAGCAAAAACGTTGGCAGTGTGCCAAAGTAACTGAAGACCTACATTTTAACACCAGGATTTTGCCAAAGGAGCAATAGCAATCTGTACTAGTGGGGAGCAGAGGGTATGGGGCAAATGGAGAGGAAAGCTCTCTGGACTAGAGACAAATGGATGGCTCCAGTGACCCATTCTGCTCTCTTAGTGAATCGGATGGGGGCAGAAATCAGGCTGGATTTTCCCACCCCATAAATCCACCTTGATCTATTTTCTCAGGCCTCTTCCTCAACCCCTTGAGCACTACATGGGCCTTGAGGCCTTCCAGCTCTCAGGTGAGGATAAAGCAGGTGAGCCCACTGGCAATCTTCTGGCTCTACTAGGAAATGTTAAAAAGCATGGGGACGGGAGGGGAGGAGTTTGGTAAATGTGTAACCAGTGACATTTTCAGTGGTTACATGTTTACATATGGGGGGGGGCAGGTGACTCCGTGGGAGCCACCTGCCCTTCCCCTCTCCATGCTGTTTCTGTATCCGAGGCATCCGCGTGGGGTGGGAGGAGGCAGGCAGGAAAGGTTGGAGCGATGGGCTGACATCTAGGACTGTTTTTATGGCTACTTAATTTAGTTATGCCTATTTGCTTGAACGGTCCTTATTTCTTGGGCCCTACTAAATTCATAGTCCATTATGGCCAACTTCACAGCCATAGGATTTAAAAATTGATAAATTTCACCTTTTCAGCTCTTTAAACCTGAAATTTTACAGTGTTGTAACCGTGGGGTTCTGATTCAAAAGGAGACGGGAAAAGGGGTGGGGTCAATAAACCTGTTTTAGGGGGATCGTGGAATTGCCACCCTCATTTCTGTGCTGTCTTCAAACTGGACTCCAAAGGCAGCAGGCAAAGAGATTCTTGTAGCCTCAGGAAGTCCTAAGACAGTGGTCTCCAACCTTTTTACACCGAAGATTACTTTTTAAATCTCAGAACAGGTGAAGATCTACCGCCCCGTCCCTTTCTTGAAGCCCCGCCCTCTCTATTCTCCTCCTGTCCATCACTTGCTATCCCCAGCCCTTACTTACACACTCTGATAAACACTTTATTTTTAAATTATGCGATATATAAAATTAAAATCACGTGTTTATAGTTATGAAATTAATGGTCTGTTTTTTATTTATGCTATTTAAATCTAAAATGAAGCATTTATAATTATACATTTTGTGGGGACAGAGTTCTGCGGCTGGGGGTAGGGGAGAGGGAACAGGGTGCTGGGAGGGCAGAGGACAGGGTTCTGCAGCAGGGGACAGGGTGCCAGTGGGGACAGAGTTTGGAGAGTGGGGATGGGAATGGGGACAGAGTTCTGTAGCTGGGGACAGGGGAGTGGAGTCTGGGGAGTGGGGACAGGTTGCCAGTGGCAGCAGAGTCACCTGCATTTGCCTCCTCCCAGGAGTCTCTCTCCCTCCCCCCGCAGGAAGCCAGCACATGCCTCCTCCAGGCCCCCCGCAGCGCAGGGTAACCCCAAGCGTGCCTGCCCCGGGGCCAACCCCCGCCTCCCGCGGCGGGGCCAAAACCCCGCGGGG